GGAAAGAGGGAGCAAAGGAAGGAAGGAGGGAGGGAGGGGAAGGGAGGGAGGGTGGACAAACAAACAGCTGATCCAGTTTAATATCCCAGGAAAGAAGATACTGTGTCCACAAACTATGATGTTATAAAAATGGAAAAATCAGAAAACAGTGAAAAGTAACATGATTGCCAGCGCAGAAAGTCAGTGAAGATAGTCCAGGACGGGGTGGTGAAGCTATGGCACGGGCACTGCGGCGGGATGTCTGCATCAGCAGAAGCTCTAAAAGGTTCACCCTCACTGACCCAGAGTACTGAGAAAATCTCCCTAAACAAGGCACTGGAAGACAAGAGATAAAAGTGAGACACAAGGGAGTATGTTACCCAGCTGGTAACAGCCACACCTGTGGAGAGTGGATAAAGATGACGGGGGTTTTATACAAGGTAGTACCACTCTGCCGTACAGAAGGGTACGCTGGAGACATTTCTAGGAAAGTGGATGCGCCTTGAGAGCATACTCTTTAAGTGAAATAAATTGGACACACGTGTGCAAATACCACGCTGTTTCTCTGGTGTGAGAAACGGAAAGTGTAAACAAGGACGAAAGAGTATAATACATGCTGCGAAACAGAAAGAAAATGTTCAAATGGAGAGGGGAAAACAGGAGGGGGCGGAGACAGGAAAGAAAGGGAAAAGTAAAAAAAATTAAGGAAAACATGAGGGGCTGGGGATTAACTCAGCGAGCGGCACAGCGCCTGCCTGGCAAGGTGAGGTCGTGAGTTCGATTCCTAGTATGGTGGGGGGGGGGGGGAAGTTGCTTCCAAAAAAAAAAATTCCTAATTTGCCAGGTGTGGTGGCACATGCCTGTAATCCTAGCACTCGGGAGGCTGAGGCAGGAGGATCGTTGTGAGTTCGAGGCCATCCTGGGCTACAAAGTGAGCTCAAGGCCAGCCTGAACTGCATAGCAAGACCCTGTCTCAAAAAGACAAAAAAAAAAAAAAAGAAGAAGAAGAAGAAGGAAAACGTGGAAACAAAGCGTTTGTAAATGGGGAGGGGAGGAGCGCTGAAGGGAGGGAGGGGAACGAGGGAAAAGGAAACAACTTACATGGCGCACAGGTGGGTGCTCTATGATGCACGTGATCACTATGTGTATCTAAAATGCACCGATAAAATCTGATTTTTACAAAAGGGACTGCTACCCGAAATCATTCAACACAATCACTTTCGCCATTTCTCGTGACTTGTTCATCAACTCATAGCCTGTCGCCTGCCGTTCTCCCCACATCTGGGACACACCCCACCTCCTCTGACGCCGTCTGCCCCCCCCCCCCGTGGGCTCAGCCCCAGTAGTGGCCCCATGGGGAGGGACAGAACCCTGGAGGGTGTTCAGAACCTGGACTCTCCCCGTTACGTGCAGCATAACACGTTACCCCCCGATCTAAGCAACTACAGAGTTGGCGTGAATTTTGTATTTCGTTCATGAGTTTACACGTTAGGCAGGGCTTGTCACAGACACTCATCGGAGTGAGCAAAGGCTGGGAGCTACAATTACCTGATGTCCCGCTCCCATCTGTACTGACGGTGGAGGGCTCAGCTGGATCGTTGGCAGGAAACCTACCCATAGACTGTCCACGTGGTGTGGGTGTCCTCACAGCTCATGGCGGAGTTCCCGGGACGAGAATGAAGAGGATGTGGAGGTGGAGGTGGAGGTGGAGGTGGAGTCAGACACAGAGCAAGTGAGCGACAGGCAGGAAGAAGTCACAGTGCCCTTTATGACCTCACTTGGGCTGTCACACAGCATCATCTCTGTCTCATTACATGGGCCAAGGCAGTCCGGGCAGAAAGACAGAGGTGGAGGTGCAGGAGCAGGTGGAAATGAAGTCGGAGGTAAAGGTGGAGGTGGAGAGGAGATGAAGATGAAGGCGGAGATGGAGGTAGAGGAGGAGGAGATGAAGATGGAGGTGGAGGTGGTGGAGATGGAGTAGGAGGTGGAGGTAGAGCTGGAGGTGGAGGTAGAGGTGGAGATGGAAGTGAAGGAGGAGATGGAGTAGGAGGTGGAGGTGGAGATGGAGATAAAGGTGGAGTGGAGGTGGAGGTGGAAGAGGAGATGGAGTAGGAGGTGGAGGTGGAGAAGGAGAAGGAGATGGAGTAGGAGGTGGAGATGGAGGTGGAGGTGGAGATGGAGGTGGTGGAGGTGGAGGTGAAGGAGGAGATGGAGTAGGAGGTGGAGGTGGCTCTGGCTGTGGAGACGGAGATAAAGGTGGAGTGGAGATGGAGGTGGAGCAGGAGGTGGAGATGATGGAGACGAAGTTGGAGGTGAAGTAGGAGGTGGAGGAGGAGATGGAGTAGGAGGTGGAGATGAAGGTGGAGGTGGAGATGGAGGAGGTGGAAGTGGAGGAGATGGAGTAGGAGGTGGAGATGGAGGTGGAGATGGAGGAGGAGATGGAGGAGGTGGAGGTGGAGGAGATGGAGTAGGAGGTGGAGGTGGAGGAGATGGAGTAGGAGGTGGAGGTGGAGGAGATGGAGGTGGAGGTGGAGGTGGAGATGGAGATGGAGGAGGTGGAGGTGGAGATGGAGATGGAGGAGGTAGAGGTGGAGGTGGAGTAGGAGATGGAGATGAAGGTGGAGGTGGAGGTGAAGGAGGAGATGGAGTAGGAGGTGGAGGTGGCTCTGGCTGTGGACATGGAGATAAAGGTGGAGTGGAGATGGAGGTGGAGCAGGAGGTGGAGATGATGCAGACGAAGTTGGAGGTGAAGTAGGAGGTGGAGGAGGAGATGGAGTAGGAGATGGAGAAGAAGAAGGAGACAGAAATGGAGACAGAGCAAGCAAGCACCGGGCAGAAAGAAGCCCCGCTGCTCTTATGACCTCGCCTTGGCTGTCACACAACATCATCTCCGCCCCATCCCACGGGCCAGGGCAGTCCCGGCAGTAAACGCCACCGCTCGGGGGGCCGCAAGGTTCTGAAGAGTACAGGGACGAGAAATAACCTTGGGGCAGCTGTAGGAAACCAGTCTGTCACGTTAGTGTCAGTCGTTATTGTCGGGGCGTGGCAGGTCCAGCCCGAGGACCAGAATGTCAGGTTCTCCACTTTGAAACTCATGATCAAAGTCACCGTCACTCGCGCAGGCCTGTTTGTGAGGCATGGGCTGCAATAAGAAGACGGGTGCCGGCCTCCTGCAGCTCCCCGATGAGGTCCTGCAGCCCGGGTCTACCTGCTTCAGTCCTCGTCTCACTGAGGGGTGGCACCTCCTAGGAATGTGCCTCCTAGCTAACACCTGTAAACCATTTATTTCACTGACCACACCGTGATCCCACGCCATCACCCAACTTTCTCTTTGGGTGGGTGAGGGTTCTGGGGACTGAACTGAAGCAGAAATCCTTACCTAACTGTAGCCATTTTGTTAAGTAAAGCCGCAGGCATTCTGTTCTCTGCTGCCGCTGAACTCAGCTAAATCATACGATTTGTCATCAAAGTGAAACTCCTGCCAATGTGCTAAAAACAACTTTGTACATACAGCTGTGCTCACCGCAGGACACCCACGGTCCCATCACCTTCAGCAAAAGTTTATCTCGTTCTTGCAACTTCTGTTTGCCGCCTTGTAAATCAGGCAAGCTCTCTGCGACCAACACCTCAGACTTTGGAGATCACCCCTCTGGGGTCCGCGGGGGTCTCCACCATTTCCTTTCCTCTCCTGAGCTCCTGGCCACTGTTGACTCAGTTCTTCCCGCAGCAGTTCCACAGGTGTGCCCACTTTGGGACTTGACCTCCCTTGGGGCTCGTGAGTCGTCTTCCCTCCGGGGGTTTCACACCGAGTCCCCGAGTGCCCCTGCTACAAAGGAGGCGTCCTTATTCCCTTGATCGAGCGGTTGAACCCAAGCACGCAGGAGCCCTGGGTGGCGTGGGCCCAGCTCCGTGGTGGGTGCCCACCGTGCTCCCCCGTTCCCGCGCTGGAGGGGACTGTGCTTCGCGGAGCTTGCCTCGCACTGGCCGCGCTCCGGGACCCCAGCGGCCGGCTGCTTCTCGGGCACCGCCACCGAGCGGCACACGGCCAGCCCACGGTGGCCGAGGGATGGAACTGAACTTTCCAGAACGCCGACATCTCCCCCTCAAAAACACTGAAGCCTTTCTTAAGCAGCGAGGGAAGAAACCCCCAGAACAGCTTCCGCTCTACCCTCCTCGCCAGCCTCGCTCCGTACCCTGGCGGCCCGGCCGTCCTGGCCCCGGCTCGGTGTCCACGAGGAGGTGGAACGTGCCACCTTTGCTTCTGGAAACATAAATTCTAGGAACGAGTCCTAGTCTTGGGTTTCATCCATTTCTAGAGCAGTCGTAAAGTATCTTACCATCAGGACAAGCACAAACCTGCGATCTCCTGCTGAGATGACCAAAGTGTGTCTCGCTCTCTGTTTTCTGTCATTGACTCTACTTCCTCACGGGCCCCATTCACAAAAAACGCAAGCCTTCTGTCTCCCCTTCCCGGTCTCCCCTCGTCCCAGGCGCTCTCCCCTGAGGCAGCGCCGGCTGTGCAGTGCCCTGCCCCATGTGCGCGTCCCCTGGGCCAGGCACTGTGCCCGGCCCTTCTCCACACCCGCTCTGCCCACGAGTGACCGCCGTTCGTCAGGTTCCCGTGCCCTGTCCATTGCGACCCGACTGTGGCCCGTGGCACTTGGTGGCCTCCGGTCACCTCCTGGGCCTCTTCCCTCGGTGACTCGTGTAGTCTGTGGCTACCGCAGTGAACAGGGCAGAAGCACAGTACACTTCGCGGCACAAGTACGGGGACAGGAAAACGCTGTGAACGAAGCCGACCTGCCAGCTCCAGTCCCCACCGGCGCCGTAGTCACCTTGGTAAATCTGGCGCTGTTTGGTGTCCGGGATGGGACACAACGCTAAGGCCTATCTCTGTTCCCTCTGGGACCTACACACTGCATTCGCAGCAGACCGAGCTCATTTACATTGTGTTCTGAAAGAAATCAAGGTCGGTAAAAGTAAACACGAAGAGAAAAACCAGTGTTGTTATTCTTTTTTAGGAAAAGGAGCGCGAGCTTGAAATTAAGAACATCTACACTAATCGAATACTTAAAAATATACGGGAACTAGAAGATTACCCAAAAGGTGTGTTTTTATTCCTTCTGCTCCAAATCTACTTTTAAGTAATGGGTCATATTTTCTTAATGTATATAGCTGGATTAGTGGATTTATTTTATTTTGTTTTGTTTTGTTTGTCTTTTTGAGACAGGGTCTTGCTATGCAGTTCAAGCTGGCCTTGAGCTCAGTTTGTAGGCCAGGCTGGTCTCGAACTTGAAACGATCCTTCTGCCTCAGCCTCCCGATTACAGGTGTGTGCCACCACGCCCACCCCGGGGCCAGTGGCTCCCTCTTGGCACTCAGAGTTTTCACTTTTTTGTTTTGCTTTCTGTTTTATTTATTTATTTATTTAGGTTTTTTTGGTTTTTCTCTGGTACCGGGAACCGAACTCATGACTTTGCGCTTGCCAGGCAGGCGCTTTTGCCGCTGAGCTAAATCCCCAGCCCCTGCTTTCTGTTTTGAGACAGGGTCTCATTATGTAGTTCAGGCTAGTCTTGAACTATGTTGCTCAGGCTGGCCTCGAACTTGAGGCAATCCTCCTGCCTCAGCCTCCTGGGTGCTAGGATTACAGGCGTGGACCACAACACCCAGCCAGTGACGGATATTTTAAAAAATCATTTTATTAGGCATTGAAATATGATGTGTAATCCCAAAAAGGCAGTGAAGTTGTTGAAACACCGAGGAAGGAATAGAAACACTTTCCCGTTTTCCCATTTTTGGCTCTGCCTTGCAAGTCCTTACATTATGTAGAAAGACAGAATGATTTTTTCAGCTGGAGGCAAAATACCTGCCAAAAACTGAGCTTTCTGAGTGCATCTGCTAGCAGTGTGTGGCTTTTGAAAGGACTTTCTTGAGATATATTTTACCCTAAAAAGATGCCCCTGTAAGCCAGGCATGGTAACGCACACCTGTCATCCCAGCACTCGGGAGGCTGAGAGAGGAGGATCTCAGTGAGTTCAAGGCCAGCCTGAACTACATAGTGAGACCTTGCTCAAAAAAAAAGGTGACTGTTTTAGCTTTTCAGTTCAGTGAATTTTTGACAATGCTTAGACCTATGTAACTGCCAGCCCATTGAGGCCACATTACCCTAGAAAGGTCCTCATGGCCCTGTGCAGTCAGGAGTCCCCACCCCTGGCTTGAGCAATTGTGAGCAGTTGTGTGTGATTTACCCAGGACACTCTGCGTTCCTGACATAGACCTTGTAGTGACCCGGCCCTCACCACCGCTCATCTGCAGCTCCAAATCCCACCTGCAGGGGGCATCCTTGTCCTTACACAGCAATTCCGCCTTCTAACACGGGATTCTACTCCAGCCCTGTGACACCCGCAGCCTTTGTAACCTAAAGTAAGACAAAACAAGGGAGATGGCAAGAAAAAAATACACGGAGGGGGCTCGGGATTTAGCTCAGCGGCAAAGCGCCTGCCTGGCAAGCGCAAGGTCGTGAGTTCGGTTCCCAGTACCGGAGAAAAACCAAAAAAAACCCCACGGAAACCAGCAAATGCTATGTGCACGTTGAATATGTAGCAAACAGCATGATTTATTTTATTACACTGCATACTTCAGTGATAGTGTTTAAAATCAATATTGCTTCCAAATGTAAAATATGATTCACGTGCAATCTACCTATTCTGCAGTTTCTTCAACAAAGTCAGTACAAGCAGACAGAAAAAGCTTGTCGTTTATAAGTACGAGACACCAAGAAACCCAGAAGTCAGAAGATGCTCCATCTCTGACCACAAAGGTATGGCAAACGTGAGATCTTTCGGCGGCTGGTTAAACATCTTAACAAAAACGACTTAAGGGATGGGGATATGGTGCAGTGGCACAAGCGCCTGCCTGGCAAGCGCAAGGTCCTGAGTTTGACTCCCGGTATCAAAAAAAAAAAAAAAGAAAGCAAGAAAAAACAAACAAGCTACAGACCACCACTAGTTCTACATACACAGTATTTGTGTTCATTAGAATAAAATACAACTTCTAATCATCTGGACTCCAAAAAACGTATTTGTTCTGCTTTTACAAATTACAGGGTAAAAAGCTAACAAGAAACATTCGTCCTAAAGAGAAATCAAGTGAAATAAACCGTGAAATTCCTCACTACGTCAGTAAACTACCAAAGCAAGAAGATTCTAAGAGAAAATTTGAAGGTAATTATAGCAAGCTTTAAAGATCTCTAGGGGGTGGAGGCGAGCTCAGTGGGCAGGAGCTTCCCTAGCACATGTGAGGCCCTGAGTGACTTTTCTTCAACTCTGAAAAAAAGTCTCCTATATTCTTTTTTTTTTTTTTTTTTCCGGTACCGGGAACCAAACTCACGACTTTGCACTTGCCAGGCAGGTGCTTTTGCCGCTGAGCTAAATCCCCAGCCCAAGTCTCCTATATTCTTACTTGATTTTTTAAAATTGTGAAACAGTACACGTGTATAAAAGCACACATAAAGCTGGGCACGGTGGTGCACACCTGTAATCCCAGCAGTCGGAGGCTGGGGCGGGAGGATCGCTGTGAGTTCAAGGCCAGCCTGCATAGTGAGACCCTCTCTCAAAAAAACAAAACACAGCAACAGCAGCAAAAAAACCATAAACAGTTGATAGAATCACAATAAAGGAGCAGCAGGCGGGTGTGGCGGCGCACACCTGTAACCCCAACAGCGGGAGGCAGAGCAGGAAGGGTCACAAGTTTGAGCCCAGCCAGGGCAATTTAGTGATTCAGAGACACCCTGTCTCAAAATGAAGAATTTACAAAGGGCAGGGGTGTAGCTCGGTGCAGAGGCTGGGGCGCAGTCCCGGGCACCGTTAGGAGGTAGAGGACTGATAGAGAAGCGATGGTGGACAGGTGCCCTGGGAGGGTCACAGCTCGCCTGGGGGGACTAAGAGGGCTGGGGCAACTTGCAGATTCATGGAAACTGATGGTCGCCGGCATTTTTGCCGTGGTCACACTGCCTATATAAGGTTCCACTCACTTTTCAGTCCATCTGGGTAATTGATTATCGTCCTAACAGTTTCTTCATTTGAAAATTGCTTTCTGCACACACACAGTGTGTCAGGCACCACTCTGGCCCTGGAAGACAAAGCACCCTCCGCTGGGCAGGAACTGGCCTAGCACACCTGAGGCCCTGGGCTCAGCCCCCAACCCCCAAAGAAAACTGGGAAGTGAACGTCTTTCCTTTCACTTCACACTGTCCACCCCACTCTTTAGCATAACTGCCCAGAACCCCCCTGGACTGCAAATGCCACACTTTATTTAACCATTACTCCTTTGTTTTGAGACAGAGTCTCCCTATGTAGCCCAGGCTGGCCTCGAACTCACAGTGATCCTCCTGCCTCAGCCTCCCTAGTGATGGGATTACAGAACCATTACTCCTATGAGAGACACTTATGTCTCGCTGTTCCTAAACCACGCTGCAGTAAACATCCTCTTACCGATGTGTGTCTGTCTCTGCAGCTTGTTCCCAGAATTGAGGCTGCTAGTCTGAGTGTGTACCCTTGAAATGTCCACAGATACTGCCAAACTGCCGTCCAAACGGCTCTTGCAGTTAACACGCCCGCCAGTGTGGGCCAAAAACCGCAATGTCCCCATATTCTCATCAGCTCTGGGAATCATTTGCCCATGGGCCCGGGAAAAGTTCCGTTTTTCCTGGCTCTTTATCCTGATGCTGAGAGCCTATTAATAACCGGCTGGCAAACCGTACGCCTCTGCCTATGAGTATCATCTCCTTTTGGTTTCATAATTCTGATATATTTGGGGGATTCTAGGAACAGGTAACGCCCCAGCTTGCTAGCAGCACACGCTCTTCTGTGCGTTGTGCGCGTCTCTCTGCCTTTGCCGTCCTTTTTAGCTTTCCTGGGCGCGGACGCAGGAGCCCGCGCGGCCTTCACGAACCCTGAACCGGCTGTTTTTCTACCACAGATTTATCGAAAGAGGAGGAGTATCTGGAAGTACACGCGGCTCTGGAGAACGCCGGGATTCAAACGGAGAAAAAGGAAGACCAAGACAAGAAGCCCCTTCCGCAAGGGCCGCAGCTGCTCCCCGCGGCCGCTCCCGGGGCGGCCCCCGACCGCGCGTGCGGGCAGGACGAGG